AGCAAAGATCAATCAGAAGAGGCAAAAAGAACTGGAGCAATCATTTCTAACCATGTTATATATATATATATATTGTATCACGTGTCTTCTTTTTCAAGCTTTGTTGCCAAGGTATGTTGATTTAATTACCCTCTTCTGAGTTTTGTTACAAAATGATTGTACTCTAGTATTCATTTAAGTTTTTTAGTACATGACTGATATGCTTCTCCTTCTGATTTTGTCCACTGTAATCCTTGATTTTATTGCTAAAGAGATCAATGGCTAAACTTCCTCTGATTGACCTCTAACTTTTAACATCCCCAATCCATATAAAATACCTGAAGTTTAAGGAATATATTTGAAATTTTCATTATATTGCATTGATATCTTCCATTAATGATTTTTTAGTTGTAGTAGTAAAGAGTTTAAATTTAAAGTAGTATCATCAATTAATTCTTATCCATTTTCTGTAATTAATATAAATCTTGGGGCTGTCAAAAATAGAAATGTGGAGATCAAGCAATTAGAATTAGGAAAGGAATTAGAATGATGAATGCTAATAGAGGGAAGAATTGAGAACCAAGAGAGAGGGAATCCTGTGAGGTCTAGAACTTAAAGCATTTTTTAAAGCATTTTTCAATGAAGACTTTTGGTAATGTTAAATTCTTTAGTTGTTTCCTCTTCTTCTATGACATGCACAGCTGTTATGTGTTGTTTAATAAAGGGTTTTATCATCTTTAAACTTGGTTGACCACCATCTATGTTTGAGTTAGTATATGTTTTGATAGTTTTAGCTTGATTTTTTCTATGTGTATTAAAGCTTGTACAGTAAGAGCATACTTTATAAAGACACTTAATTATGGTGAAAAAAAACATTGATTACTGCCCAACTTGATTGATTTATATCATAAGAAAAGTTTCGTAGCAGGTGAGTATTATTATATACTCTTTTAGCCTTGCAACATATCATTCTAATCATTTGCTATTTTTTGGGTTTGAATTTTCAAACTTTGAAGGCAATGGCCAGTTTGGAATTTGGATTTGACTTGGTGGGAAGGCAAGCCTCTCACGTCTTTGCTACACAGAATTCCAAGATTCTTCTTAGTTCTTGCTTGGTAAAGAGAATAGAACTAGAGATAATTCCAAAGGGATCAAATGAACTTATTTTACTTGGCAAAAAGAAATTAAATTATTTAAAATCAAGTATTAAGCATTAGAATGGTTAATGGTTAATGATATTTTTTTCATTTATAGAACCATTTTAATCACCTAAAACAGAATAATTTAAATAGTTTTTACATGATAGTGTGCACAATTGTTGATGATTCATATGTGCTTACCTTTTACTAATGACACTTTCAGTTGCAGGCAACTTTGAATTCCAAAAAAAGCCACTCCTACACGTTCGTGTACTTCTCTCCTTTGGGTGGATCAAGAGCAGGAGGACAAGTCTAAAGAATGTCTGTGTCGTTGAATCTCATTGGGTTGGCCTTCATCAATAGATCAAGGAAACAAAAGCAAGGCCTATTAGTAAGAGTTAATTTCAACTATGACAATTTATTAACATACCTAAATAGTAGTCTATAAATTGTTTTATTTAAATATTTTTTTTAAATAGATTGAGAAATTAACATAAAAAAATAAATTGATTGAGAACTATCTTGCTTAAAATTATGAGTTTTCTTCTCATTTTTTATTAATATATAATGACTGGTAAAGGTAAGAAGAAAGGGAAAAAAAGGCATGCAAATCTTCGTTAAAGCAATGTAGAGAGGGCCCAAGAGATGTTTACCATGCAAAAGAATTGCTACCCAACCTCCAACTTTGTTACTCTCTTTTTTTTTCTTTTTTTCTTTTTTTTTTGTGTGGTGAACTCTATTTATATACTCTATACAATTGCCAAGTTAAAATCAAAGGATTTGATTCAGATTGCAATGAAACTACTGGGATTAGTGAAATTGGAGACAAGACAGTGAAACAAATTGAGTATACGAGTGAACCTAACATACCAAACACATAATAACTACAATATTATCATTACTGCAACATTGTCAATTTACTAAACAGAGTCGTGATCAATTAAATTACTGTTATAATTATTGTTATTATATGAATTACACCTATAAATTCTAAAATTATTTTACTCTTATTTTATTATGTGATCTATATTTTAATAGTGTTAATGTCTCAATATTTAAATAGAGGTGCCTGTACTTCACACAACACTGTCTAAAATATTAATATGTAAAAGATACCTTAATGATTAATATAAAAAATTATGTAAATTATTAAAGCATTTGAAAAATAATTTCACAAAATTATCATTTTAAAACTTAATGCTCAAGACGTTTATATGACCATGTAGCGGGGCCTTCACTTGTATATTGAACAATGAACATCATCAAAACCCAATGGAGTGATTTTTATTGGACTTCCTTCTAAAGCCCAAATCAAATATTTTGGGGAAAAATATTGTCCGATTTAGGCCTAACCCACTTCATTTTCTTAAATGAAACCGGGTTTTTTTCGATGAAGATCCATTCTTTCACTCTGCGACTTCTTTTGCTTTTTTTGGTCGCCGGTGCAGGTTTGCCTTTTTGATTTCCATTCTGGGGAAGATTGTAGATTAGTCGAAAGTGGCAATCCTAGAAGCGAGAAACCAGAATGGTTGCCAAAGTTTCTCTACAAACCCAATTCATCCGTAGTATTTGTGCCATTGTACTGAAGGGACAGTGGAAGGACATCTTGAAACCGAAGGTCGGTAACAATGTCACCTCAGCAGCTATTAACCAGGTGCTTTTTCAACTCTCGCTGTATGGATGTGGTCCTTCGTTTTCTTGGGAATTCTACAAATGGGTTGAATCCATTCCAAATTACAAGCATTCCTTGCAATCATCGTGGACAATGGTTCACATTCTCACCAAGTACAGACATTTCAAGATTGCACAGAACCTGCTCGAGAAAATTACCCACAAGGATTTCTTATCATCACCCTCTGTTTTGAATGCGTTGGTGAGTACCAATTGTGATCCAGATGTGAATTCTCATGTTTTGAGCTGGCTTGTGATATCCTATGCAAATTTGAGAATGACCCAAGATGCTATCCAAGTGTTTGAGCAAATGAGGGTGCATGGTTTCAAGCCTCATTTGCATGCTTGTACTGTGATTTTGAACTCTTTGGTGAAAGAGAGATCGACTCATATGGTCTGGAAACTTTATAAAAAGATGGTTAGACTTGGAGTTGTTGCAAATATACATGTGTATAATGTGTTGGTTCATGCTTGTTGCAAGTCTGGGGATGTGGATAAGGTGGAGAAGGTGTTGGGTGAGATGGAATTTAATGGTGTTTCACCTGACCGTTTTACATACAATACATTGATTTCATTGTATTGCAAGAAGGGTATGCATTATGAGGCTTTATCTATTCAGGATAGAATGGAAAGATCAAGAGTTAGTCCTGATATTATAACTTATAATTCCCTTATTTATGGGTTTTGTAGAGAAGGTAGAATGAGGGAGGCTTTAAGGCTCTTTAAGGAAATTAAGGATGCGACTCCTAACCTTGTGACATATACTACTTTGATTGATGGTTATTGTAGAGTGAATGACCTCAAGGAAGCTTTGAGATTGTGTGAGGCAATGGAGGCCAAGGGTTTGTATCCCAGTGTTGTTACATATAATTCAATTATTCGTAAGTTGTGTGAGGAAGGTAGAATAAGGGATGCTAATAGGATTTTGAATGAGATGAGTGATAAGAATGTTGAGCCTGATAGTATCACTTGTAACACATTGATAAATGCTTATTCCAAGATTGGAGATATGAAGTCGGCAATGAAAGTAAAGAACAAGATGTTGGAGGCAGGATTGAAGCTGAACCAGTTTACTTTCAAGGCATTGATTCATGGGTTTTGCAAGGTTCAGGATATGGAAAGTGCCAAAGAGCTCTTATTTGGCATGCTTGATGTAGGCTTTTCTCCTGGTTATTGCACCTACTCATGGCTTGTTGATGAATACTGCAACCAAGGCAATGAAGAAGCAATTATAAAACTCCTAGATGAGTTTAATGAAAGAGGTCTTTGCCTAGATGTCTCAGTATATAGGGCACTGATAAGGAGGTTTTGCAAGCAGGAAAATATTGATTATGCACAAAGAATATTCGACCTTATGCTAGGAAAAGGTATATCAGGAGATAGTGTTATATACACTAGTATGGCTTATGTTTACTGGAAAATGGGAAAGGTGAATGTTGCTTCTGATTTTTTGAATGAAATGTATAAGAGAAGGTTGATGATAACTATGAAAATTTATAGATGTTTAAATGCTTCCTTTGCTGGTGATGATAGCAGCTTAGGTTTCTTTTGGTCTCATCTGGCTGGGAGGGGCCTAATATCTAAAAGTATTTTGAAGGATATGGAGCACTTGAAGTTGCCTGATAAATTAACTTCTGGGTGAGAGATTGCAGTGTTTAATCTTCACTCTAGCATATATTGGCATGAATATATCGGAGCCACAAGCAATTCTCTGATTGAGTTTATTATTAGCCTCTAATATAGAACCATGGGAGTTGCCAACGGTAACGGTAAGAGCTTGAACCTCCGTGTTGGGTTGTTAACTCTCAGACGCAAAAGACTATTCAGATGTAGAAAAAAAATAGTGTTCTTTTTTTTGTTTGATTCCGAACCAAATTTGTTCAAAATAAAATTATGGAATATTTCTTTGAACCTGATGATAACTGTAGTTGAAAGGCTACAATTTCCTGATTTTTGGCCTTTTTTTACATTGTACAGTTAGTTTTAAATTTAGTGTAAGAAATAGGTCTTTTTCATAGATTTTATAAAATTTTTCAAAAGGAGGTTATAAATATTTTTATCTTTAATTTATTAGTTATTATTTATATGGAGAAAGAGGATTCAAATTTATCAATTTAGCTGCTCAAGTGCAAATTAAATAATTTCTACTTTTTTATTACTTTAAAGCCTAACTGTTTATTGTTGGTGTCTAGGCCCACTCCTTGGCCCGCTCCTTGACAGTTTACAGAGATCCTGACACCTGTTAAACAGCAGAGATCCCAAAAAGCAGGAAACTGTTTCTTGAATTGTATCTGTTTGATGAAATGCTCCTGGGAGCATCCTGGTCAAAGGGCGTAACATTCTCCCAGCTGGAAACCTTCAGCACCTGATTTTCGCCATGCCACACATTGCACTTGTCAAGGTATGAACTGGGTTCAGAAGCTATAAATTTCGAAGCAAACATTCATTTCTTCATCACCACTAGACTCCATTTACCTTTTATACCTTTATCAATCTCCATATTTTCTGCGTTCTAACTTTCAAAAAAGAATATATCAGAGATGGACAAGTCTTCTCAAAGCCAGGCCCAGAACATTAGCTACGAGGCTGGGCAGGCCAAGGGCAAAACTGAGGTAAGCTCAGGAGCAGTGACTGGAGCATGATTCTGTTTACCAGCTTACACTGTATGATCATCATGGTGATGCTTTTTTCTTGTTCTTTTTCAGGAGAAGGCCTGCAGCATGATGGATAAGGCATCTGAAGTTGCCCAATCTGCCAAGGACTCAATTGCAGATGTACAGATATTAATCTCCTAATCACCGATTTCTCATATACATTCCTAAAATGGTTGCAAAAGGGTTTCCACCATAGGAAGCATCAAAATCATAGTCTGTTGGTCAAGACAATAATACTTTGTGACAAAATACAACAGAAATCCTGATATAGATAATCAACTTTAATAAGTTCTATGTTGAACTGGACATTTCTTCCGCTTAAAAGAATTTTTTTTTTGTTTTTTTGGAGTAGGCTGGAGGGGTGATGATGGCTAAGGCTCAAGGAGCAGCTGAAGCTGTGAAGAATGCAACAGGCATGAACAATAAATCAAGCTGATTGAAGAAACATTTTCTATCCAGTTTGATTTGTATGCTTTCTTGGTTTAGCTTGTTTGAGAGCTTTTTAATTTATTTCATTTTTTCTTCCAAAGAACTGAAGAAGAGAGATCTATGATGTAATTCTCTGCTTCTGAGTCATAAGAATCTTGGTCCAATTGCTTCTAGGAAGTATGTACACGTTATTATGCTTCTTTTAATGCAATTTCGACCTTGTTTTGATTCCTACTAGTTCTTTTCTTGGACCAAATTTTCTCTCTTTTTGCCTTCAGTTTATGAAATAAACTCAATTAATTGCTTCTTTTTCTTTTGGCCAACAATTAATTGCTTCTTCAATCAATTAATGTTACGTTTCTTCTCAATGAAACTGCTTATTTGATTACTAATTATTCTTTCTTATGGAATTATATCAATGTGATGATCACCTTTTGTGATATTTCAAAATTTGGATCAGAAAAGTATGCTAAAGTTGATGTTACAAGAAAAAAGTCAACACTTAATACTTTGCTCTTCGGAAATCTTGAGAATTAGAATTATAATGGATAGGATTGCAACACTTCAAAAACTCACCATCTCTAATTAGTAGAAAAATGATATCTAAGAGCTCTATCATCTTATACTTCTCAAGAGTTTTATAACTAGAGATGTAAAGATTTAAGGTATCATTTTTTTATTGATAAGAATACTTTTAATGTGAATTTGAGATATCATATCACAAATATTTCATTATATATTATAATTCTTTTTAAAAACCAATAGAAAGTAAGTAATTAGATTTGATTGCCAAAGTCCTTATATATTTTTTAATCTACTTATCATATTTGGGGAAAAAAAAAAAGAAACACTCGTTAAAGTGATCTCATTCACCAACGACAAGATGAAAAAAAAGATATGTACAAAAAAAAAAATTAATAATAATAACCAAGATGAAACAAATATGAAATAATGTGACTCAAAAGAATAAGGAAAAATGAGAGTTTAGTTTTTTAAATTTATCTTGATATTTAATTAAGCATATGAAAACTTAAAATTATTTGTATTAGTATTAGTAGAATTAGAATCATTTATCATATGGTTTCACATTGAGATTTACATAAAAATCACATGATGAATGATCTTAATCTTGTCAGAACTGTTAGGTAATCTTGACTTTTCGTTTTCTGATTCAATTAATATTTTAAATTTAGTCCAACAAATTACGATTTTTAAAAAATCAAATATCTTTTTATGAACAAAAAATCAATTGTTAAATGTTACTACTATATTCAATTTGGCAATCATTAAAATCATTTATTTACTCGTACTAATTTTTATGGATAATGCAGGAAGCCGCAGCAATCTGATTCGAACCTCCAACCTCAACTCTACCCAAGAAATTAAACCCCTAAAACCCTAAAATAGCTCGCTTCGAGATCAGACTTCCACAATCCTCTGCAATATTTCATAGACGCAGGAGCCCAAATCCCAGACCCGCAAAAGCAAAAGCTCATGAGACACCCATGGCGGTTGCTTCTCTTGCGAAACTATCCTCGCTCTCGCTTACAGTTCCTCACCCAGCCCCAGGTGCTCCCCGATTCTGTAAGCTCTTTCTTATCACTCCTCCACACACGGTTCTTTCACAATGCTGTTTTCAATCTCTCTTCTTGAACCCTCAAAATCTTAAGCTAACCATGAGCACTAAACTGCCCCTGAATCATGAAAACCTCATGATTCGTAATTTATCGTCTGAGCCAGCGGTATAACAAAATGACCCAGATCATGCATTAGAGACAGTAACTGATATTTTAAGTCGGCACGGGAATGTGAATGATATTGGGAAAGAATTGAAGTCTAATGGTATCGTTATTAGCCACGATTTGGTGCTGTAGGTGTTGAGGAATCTTGAATCTAATCCTGATGTGGCAAGACGGTTCTTTGATTGGGTTTTGGAGAGTGATGGGAAGAGATGGAGCTCAAAATCGTATAATTTGATGCTTGGCATTTTGGGAATTAATGGGCTTGTAGAGGAGCTTTGGGGTTGGTTGATGCAATGAAGAAGAAAGGGTATGGAGTATCAGGTCGTGTTCGAGATAAAGTGGCTGAAATTTTTGAGAAAGAAGGACTGGAGGGTGATTTGGAGAAGTTGAGGGGAGTGTTTGCATCAGGGTCCGTGGATAATTCAGTGGAGAAGGTTTGCCCTAGGGTGTGTAAGATTGTTAGGAGTGATGTGTGGGGGAACAGTGTTGAGGGCAGCTTACGTGTTTTAAATGTCGTGTTTTGAAGTGATTTGATGAAAATGATACTAGAAAATCTTGGTGCGGAGCCTAAAAATGCATTAATATTTTTCAGGTGGGTCGAGTAGAGTGGCTTGGTGAAACATCATGAGGGGACTTATAATGCTTTGGCTAGGGTTTTGGGGAGAGAAGAATGCATTGATATAGGTTTTGGAAGAGTGTTGATGAAATAAGGAGTAAGGGGTTTGAAATGTACATTAAGGTTTCAGAGTGATTTGCCAAAAGGAAGATGATTAAGGTTTGAGATCAATTTTCTAATGGGAGTATGATTAAAGATGCTGCAGATTTATATGAGTATGCAATTGGTGCAAATAGACCTTCTGTGCATGGTTGTACTTCTTTGCTGAGGAAAATAGCAGTGGCTAAACAATTAGACATGGAACTGTTTTTGAGGGTTGTGCAGATTTTTACAGAGGATGGGAATGTATTGACAGATAGCATCCTTGATGCAGTTCTCAAATCTTTAACAAGTGTTGGTAGACTTGGAGAGTGTAATAACGTATTACAAGCAATGAAAGAAGCTGGATTTGTAGCTGGTGGTAACATGCAGAGTAAAATTGCCTTCAGGCCTACTTGTGCTGGTAAAAAGGAAGAAGCAACTGAGTTTATGTATCAAATTGAAGCATCAAATGGTGCTTTGGATTACAAGGCATGGGTGTCTTTAATTGAAAATGGCATTGTCTTGCTGGGGATCTTGAAAAAGCTTCTGATTGTTTCCAAAGGATGGTTGGGAAGGAGGGTGTCCCTAATGCTGGTTATCCCTTTCAACTGTTAATAAATGCTTATTGTGACAGGAACAGAGCAGTAGATGCATGCAAGCTTCTTCAAAATTATGTTGGGGAGAATCAGTTAAAGCCATGGCATTCTACTTACATTGTTTTGATAAGGAAGTTACTGGTTCAAGGTGGATTTAAAGATGCTTTGGACACTTTGGGTTTGATGAAAGAAGTTGGATTCCCACCTTTTGTGGATCCATTCACCAAGTATGTATCAAAATCTGGAAGTAGTGAAGGTGCTATTGCTTTTGTGAAGGTCATGACTTCTAAGAGGTTTCCATCTACTTTGGTAGTTCTCTGTGTTTTTAAAGCTTTTTTCAAACCTTCAAGGCAAGCTGAAGCACGAGATTTGCTGTCCAAATGCCCATGTTACATTTGTAACCATGCAGATGTTTTGAATCTTTTCTGCTCTATGAAATCAGGTGAAAGTGTTCATGCTGCTCCAATGGTTGCTTAGGCTTCATTGGATTGTATTAGTTATTATACTCTGGTGGGGTAATTTAATATGAAATTTGTTCAAAAGTTTTGCCAAGGAATTCTCTCATCTATACCATGTCCATTTGGGAATTTACATCTTTCATCAATGTCAAATTTTCAATGGATTTAATGTTTCTGTTGCCTTTTTCTTATTCTGTAATTCTTGCATATGGCTGTCAAATGGTAGGTATGCCCAGACTGAATAGAAGATTGTGGGAGAGAACATTGATACATTGAAGCCTTGAAGTTATATTAAGCAAAACCAAATTTCAAAATTGAGATTATTACCTTAGAAATGAGTTTTCGCATTTCCCTTGAAGTTGTGTTAATTATATCTTTCTTCCTAGAATCGATGTGTTGAATCTGTTCTAGACATTTTCTATCTTTTGTTCAATTTAGTTCATTTCTTCCCATGTACACCACAAGCATGTTATTGATTTATTTGAGAACATAATGGTGTGTGTGTATATGAGTCTATGTATATTACATGTAGGCTAAAAGATGTGGAAGAAACAACAATTGTTTTCATTATAGTGATAATGTCTTAAACTATAAGGGTTAGTTTGGACATGTTGCAACACATTTTAACTTGGGGCCATCTGGTGTCATCAAAACATTTTTTCCGGTGGTGGCCTTCGATAAGATCAAGGATTGATAATGTTGTCTCACTGTCATCACTCTCTATGGTACTTGTTTGCTTTAGAGGACAGATTAGGACTTAGAAGAGTGGACATCAAAAAATGACGCATCTCTCTCTTTCTGTGTCTGTGGTTTGAATTTGGGTTTAGGGTTAGGGACAGATCACTTCTTCAGTTTTGTTTAACTGTTCAATGAACTTGAATACATAATGAAGGAATGGAGAGGCATTTAACTTTGTTAGTTCTTCCACGACAATATGACTCTCAATGAGATACACCGGAAGAAAAGGTTTTATGTAGTGATTACCAATTAGTTTAAGACTAAGACTTCATTGGTTATCATGATGTTTTGCTACCAGATGTGAGCATTGTGACGTAAGTGCAGTCTATCGTTTGTCTTTGTTCTTTCTCTTCATAAGTTCAGTACCATGAACTTGCATGATAGATATGTATATGCTATCTCAAAGTTCTTGCTATCAGATAGACTACTACTTCAGTTTAATTTGTTTTCTAACTTCTAAGTTTCATCATTGTTTTAATTGTTACATCCACTCATTAGTTATCATACTGTACATTATTTCTATATTGGTTGTTGTCTTGGATTTCTGTCCTACAGGATCATCACCAGGGCTAATCAAGTTTGTCAACTTGTGTTTTTATTGAGGAATAAGAAGAGGCATTTAACCAACAAAGATAGAATTGATCTACAGGATTTAAGCTTTCCAGTATTTGACATCAAAGTTTTTGGTCTGATTTTTTTGGGCGGTTGGGCCCGATTTTAAGTACCTATTCCATTTGAAACTCATTGTGTTACGGTCTAGTGTCTGGAACTGTGATTATGCTTCTGATCAAGGCATGAGGCTCAAAGGAATTTTGAAGCCTGGTTTACACTGTAATCAAGTAATCATCTTCAACTTTCATATCTAGACTATAGATACCTAAAGAGACTTTGCCTGCCTCTAGTTTAGATGCTTAGCCTTCAGGAAAGTATTATATATTCACTCTTTTGAAAGCAAAGGTAAAAATCCCACTTCCACTTTTGCAGCAAAGAATCTTCTAGCCGCTGTATTCTTTAATGTTGAGACTGGTATGAACTTTTTTGGTTTGCTTCAGTTGCAATCAAAGAATCTTCTAGCCGTTGCATGTTTGTTGCTGCCTTGTCAAACTCAATAGTCAAAATTAATAGTTTTTCATGATTGAACATCTTTAGCATTTAGCAACAATTGAACCTTGCTTGAGATTTCTGCAATGTAAACGGAGTGTGAATAAAATGAGGAGCTAAAATAAAGTTGGACCTGGAATTGTCTCTTTTTTGAATAATGGATGTTGGGGACCAGAGTAAAGAGCTTTTGTTTTTATCTATGCATGCGTTATCTGGATGAGAGTGGGATTTCATGTGTTTTTTGAATGCTTAAACAAGTGCAGGCTTTTGGGCAGAATGCCTTTTGAAAAAGAAGGGAAGTAGAATATAAGATGCATTTCTTGGTTGGAAGAGGCATGCGCCTGTGAAGTAGCAATGCAACTCAGAAAAGGTCTGATTCTTTTTGCCTACATCCTGGATCATTTTCTCTTCCAAGCAGCACTATTGTTTGTCACCGTTGGACCAGTTGGACAGTTAACGTTTTCGAATCAAAAGCATGCATGCTAATGACATTTTTTTTTGTTAAAATCGAGATAAAATCGAGCCTAATCAAACTGTAAGTTTGAAATGTTTTCATAGGCTGGTTGATTTCTAGCCCTGTTTATAG